AAATGGATCCCGTGATAGCTCAGGGTCCTCTCAGCTTTTCTCTGCATGAACTAAACCCTGGATTAAAAGTTCCAGAGCTTGCACAGCCTCCTTCCTCCTCCTTGGGGGCCAATAGGGGTCCCTTGAGGGGGCTCCCTCAAAACACAGGGCCTGCCTGGCTGCTGACCGTGTCCTGCCTGGAAGACCTCATCTGTCCCTGGAAATCCTGCATATCCAACTCCTCTCCCTGGTGAGTCCTTATGAACACATTGTTCAGATCTAACAACTGTCCATGAAATATCAGTTTGTCCCTCACAGACCGGAAGAAGGACCTGCCAGGAAGTGAGGTGACAAGAAAGGGCGCAACACCAGAAACATGAAAATATGGCCCCCAAACGGCAGGCCCACAGCTGCACTTAGCTCTCTCTGCCAGGGAGGACACCTCCAGATCCTGTCCTGGCCAGGTGACCCGCACAATGTGTATGCGCCTGGAGGCTCAACTGCCAAATAACTTGATGATTTTGGAGCCTTCCAGCAAGCAGCTCCCCAGCAGCGGACACGGATCTAGGTCAGCTCACTTTTTTACAGACATGAGACAGACAGACTATTTAGACAGCTGTAAGTCCTCTCGGAGTAAAATCTTATTACCGTAGATGAAAAAGCACCCGGGAGAAAAAAAACCAACAGCATCCTAAAATAATATGCTGAGGTTAGGCAGCTTAAGTGATCTTTCAAAAGGACTTTGAACCGTTCCATTAAAGTACAGATGAAATCAACACCCATTCTCCTTGCAGCTGCTTTGGGGACAGCTTCATGTATCTGGCTTCACAAGTCAAGACTGGAGGCTTGGAAAGACGTACAAATAATAACAGGGTAGAAAGGGGCCCTCAGGACTGGAGATCAGATCACATATGTCCCACAGGTTCTGGATTAGCTGTAAAAATCATGGTGGGTTCGATAACGACTTGTGGTCATGTTTGCATTCAGATCTGAAATCCAGTGGAGGCCATTGATTACTTTATGCCCCTGGCTGCCAAGTTTGGGGCCACAAAAGAAGCTTCTTCTCTCCTATGGCATCAGAGTTGCAGAGCATGTGAGCTGGGGCTAGGGAGGGGAAACTGAGGCCAGAAAAGCACCCCTCATCCCCTCCTCTCCAGCAAAGGGTCCCATAGATGACTCGGCAAAACTGAACAGGGCCTGATGTCCTATAGGCACCCATGCCATCTAGGTCAGAGGGCTGTCATTTAATGTTCCTCCCCCTTGAAAAATAACACAAAACTATCCTGCACTGAGTACCTCCTAAGTACCATGAAATCGTCACAATGTTCTTCCATTACTCCCATTTTCCGGGTGAGGAAACGGAGGTGGATGGAACGTGTGACTTCTGCACAGCCACAGGGCCACATCTGAGCTCAGCCCCACAGCTTCCCAGGCAGCATGCGGTGCCGGAGCCACCGGCAAGCAGGGAGCTTCCCAGCCAGAGGCCAGTGGGAAGTCCTGGACACGAGCTTCGAAACCTCAGAGGTGGGCAGGGCTTTGGCTAAAAGCAATGGACTGCTGCCGAGCTCCGATTCCAGAGTGCATGGATGGTCGGCCGGCTCCCTTTTAAATATTTACCCATCTGCTTCACTTCGTAATTAGCAAGAAAGTGATACAGGATGTGCCCTTCAAAGAGCTCATTAAACCTCACGGTGGTGGCCATTTTCGTTTTGTCCTTGGCTCCCCAAGCCAGCCTGCAGAGACACGTGAGACTGCCTGGAACCCATCCATCCCCACAGCCCTCCCTGCGGGTTCTTTGGGTTTCTGAGGGCCATTTTGAGCCTTAACGCGCTCGACTGGGAAGGCTGTCTGGAGATGTGCGAGGCTCAGAAGGAGGACAGCACACTGAGAGGGCTCCTTCTCCCGAGGCCCTTGTGCTCCTGCTGAAATCCGATCGGCTTCTAAACAAAAGCCTGAGCCCAGCATCACCCAGTCGTGCTGCCTTTGACAGCGACCCTGTGTGGCCTCCCAGAGCAGCCACAAGGACCGGTGGGTTACCTGGGGCCCCTGCTCCGTCTTGACGTCGAAGGGGTCTCCCACAGGCCGTTGCCTGGCGTGCTCCACGCTGCGCTTGACGAACTCGGAGTAGACCTGCTCCTCCACGAATACCCTGGAGGCAGCCGTGCAGCACTGGCCTTGGTTGAAGAACACTCCCCGATGGGCACACTCCACTGCCAAGTCCACTGGGCCGGCAGGGCGCGGGCGAGGCAAGAGGAAGCGATTAAGTCGTTAGAGCGGGCTTGGCGACAGCGGCAGCTCTAATGGCCCACACAAGAAAACAGGCCCCAGGATGGGCTGCATTTCAGAAATGAATCTTGTTCTCAGCATTTCCCAAGGAGAGAGGCTGGCAAAAAGTGTTTTCAGGTTCACCAAGTCTGGGGTTAAGTAAGTCCTCTGACGGTAGGACTTCTCAGTACCTTTAACGAGCCCAGACTTGGGTACCTCCCCATGTCACTCCTCATTTCCATGGGACCCTCTCCTTCCCTTTTCTGAAGGAAAAGCTAATGTTATCTGGAAACACACACACACACACACACACACACACACACACGCAGCTTTTGGTAAGTAGTGATGTAGGCAACTAGCGAGAATTTTTAAGGAATCCACCTTGAGTGGAAGAGGACGGTGGTAAGTAATCTAACGCCACCAGGGACGATTGAATTTGGAGCTGGTGCTGAGTTAATTTAAAATCAGCTATGGAAACCCAGCTAGTGAGCTGCTCAGTCGGAACTGTGGGGAGACGCTGATGGGCAGAGACGCCAGTGAGTGCCCTTTACACTGCTGGGGGAGCTTCTAGAGCTCCATGCCTGGCTGTCTCCTCAGCAGCCCCTACACTGTTGCTCGCTACAAAAAAGCAGTTTTCGTCTGCATGGAGCCCTGGCTGTGAGCGCAGGAAGGTGACCCATCCAAGTTCACCAGGCAGCTCTGAGGGACGCCCTCGGCTTGGAGGAGGCCACTGCTCCCAGGAGGGCAGTGTATATAAACTAGTGGCAGCAGACAACATTGTCACAGGTCCACAGTTCTCCCTGAAGACAGCAGATTCATTTCCTGGACCTGATGGGAGTCAGGGTGGTGGCTGAGGTGCAGAAGGGTGGTGTGCTACCCTTGGTATTACATCAGGGTTTAATTGTGTGGACTGGCACTGCCTGGAGAAGGAGGAAGAGGAGGAAGAAGAGGAAAAGAAGGTGGGCAGGGGAAGGAGATAGTTCTGCAGTGTGTTTTCATGAGTTTCATAAAAACCAACCCCTGAAAGGGGCACACCCCGGGCTTTAGCTGTGGTTTTCTTCATTAGGAGGACAAGAAGGTGAGGTGAGGTGCAGATGGGGTCCTCAGTGCAAAACTGGAGTCTTTGGGGTGGGAGCCAGAGGCTGTAAATGTGGGTCACAGTGAGGCAACATCTGAAACAGCCCAGTGTGGCCCCAGAAACCCTTAGCAACACTAATGACACTTCCACAAGGGAGCAGCAACCAGGCAAGAGTAGGGCAGGCTGTCTTCATGCCCTTCCCTGGAGCTTGTTTTATCTCCTTGTCTGCTCTCCTACTGAAAGCCAGCACTCAGGAAAGGAACTGATATCACTCATTTACACCTAAGGGAGAAATCTGGCCAGGACCATTGTTTTCTCTGGGATATTTGCATTCTAGTCTTATCTGAGTGTACACTGGAAGGCTTTGTTCTCTGTGACAGGTGTTTCTGGCACCTTGGACAGGTGGCCGAGATGCTTCAAGCTACTCAGAAAGTCACACCTTTCGATATCTGGCCCTGTCACAGGTGAATAAATGCCTAGCATGGCCTTTTCTGCCCCCTTCTGGACAAGGCAGCCAAGAATAGCATACGTTGTACTATTGTGTCCAGTGCTTTAGCAAGACACGAGCTGTTCCTGAGCTGCCGGATGAGTGGCTTTCCCAGGCAAGACAGCACGCAGACCACGGTTATTGCCTCTGGTTGTTCTTTTGTTTTTGTTTTGTTTTTCTCTTTAAGGGTCCACACCATTGTCAGACCAAGACAATGAAAGAAGAAACAACTTTTGTTCAATCCCCACTATCACTGCTCTTCAGAGAGCCCGAAACCATTCCCCTGATTCGAAGTGGAGAACAGCAAAAGCCCAGGAACGGGGAGCACCTGCCCGGCCCTTTCTCCTCGTGCTCTTGACTGGTGCCCATGAGGGGACGCTTGAGGGGAAACTGGACCTCCCTGCTCCTTCTGGCCCCGGCTCCAGCTGGGCAGAGGCAGACACAGGCGGCCTCACAGCTGCCACCTAAGCCATGTTCCTTTCCAGGGCAGCTTTCTGTCAGCCACAGGCCAGTGCTCTGATCCCCCTGCCTGGCATGGCTGCTGGGTGGCCTGGTGGGCAGGATGACCTGAGGCGGAGAACACCCACTGTGAGTCTGTGCACTCATGTCTCTCTCTCTCCCAGGTGGGTCTGAGCTGGGACCCAAGGGTGGGCAGAGATCTAGGGGTATCCTAAAGCCAGGTGGCACCCAGGCCGGGCAGAAACTCACGGTCAGCATCAGCACACACGATGCAGGGGTTCTTCCCCCCCAGCTCCAGCGTCACCCTCTTCAGATTGCTCCGGGATGCAGCTTCTTTAACCAACTTTCCAACCTTCAGGAGGAGAAACGGGCCCAATGAAAATGGACGTGGCCAACTTGGCTCAAATGCAGAGATCAGCAAACAATCTGGACTAGCCTGGGAGGCAGCCCTGTGTTACCAGGGCCATCTGCCTCTGCAGTGTCCAGTCCTTGACGCAAGCTGATTCCCTCCCTGGTCTTGGTAGTGCCTGCTTGCAAACCAGACCGTGACTCCTGAAGTCCATGGTCTTAGCTGATCCACGTCCAGGAGTGATTCCTCCATGGACACGGCTGTCTGCTCATCTGCTGGGGCACAGCTCCAGTCAGCCCTGCCCACTGTCCAGTGAGGCTGGTAAAGGGCTCAAGGCACCAAGGGGCGCCTTTCCCAGCCTTGCTAGTAACAGCTGAAATCCTGGCAGCCAGCAGGGAGGGTGTTGTGTGGGTCTGGTGTAATCTGAGGGAACCTTCCAGAGTCAGAGAGGCAGCAAGGGCAGTGACTATCAGGAGAAGGAGCTGCCTCTGGAAACAGGCTGGAAGACCACGTGGGGTGCATCACAGGAAACAGAGTCATCTACTGGACAGCACACAGCAAAGCCCAGCGTCCCTCAAGTGGGCACCTCACAGGGCTTCTCCCATCTCCATCCTCCACCAGAGAGCAGGGCTGGCCCTATGTCCCCTGCTGACTTATCCCGGGAAACAAGTAAAGCCAGGTGCCTGAAATCCCAGCACTCAGAGGCTGAGGCAGTAGGATCTAAAGTTCGAACCCCGCCTGGATGGACCCTATCTAAAAAAAAAAAAAAAAAAAAA